TCATGGGCGGCCAGGCCATGCTGGGCCAAGGGTGATGGAAGCTGTGCTGAGGCAGCTGGGCATGGCAGCTGAGGACCAGGCAGCAGGGACACTGTCTCCAATGGGGGACAGTGGGAAGGCCCAAAGGCAAGGGAGAAGATGGATGAAGCCATGGGGCTAGGTGCCCCGAGGGCCCAGCTGTTGGAGGGTCCGGCTGGCGGGCACCTGGTCAGCTGCCAGGGCTGAAACCTGAGCTGGCCAGCTGGAGCTGGGAGGTCCGTGAGAATTACAGGGACTCAGGAAGCCACTATGGTGAGCTTCTGGGAAGCCTGGCTCTCCCCACCAGCATCCAGTGCTGCCTGATGGGCCTGGAACTATAATAACAACCGATGATTCTACGTGACCTCTGCCTGGCCCTGGCCCTGGCCCTAGCCTCTGGCCTGTGACCTTGGCTCAGTTCAGTCCCCTGAAGGCAGGAGGCCATTGAGGCCACATGTTCCATTCCTGGACACAGCCTAGCGCCTGCTCAGCAGCCTAGGGCATGAGGAGACCCAGGGGGTTCCCATTGTGGGGAGGAGGGGGTGGCCTGTGCTTCCTTCTACCCACCCTGCTCCCTCATTGGGGAGGCTGGGGGACCAGCAAGGAGTGTGGAGGGTGGTGGGCTGTGTGCTGAGAGACCTGGCTCCCCTGGGCACAGGGCACTCCCAAGGAAAAGTAGGTTCCTGGAGTGTAGAGCCTGCAGCTGCCAACGCTGGCAGGGCACATGGATGGGGGCTTGGACTCCTCTCAAAACTAATGAATGTCACCTGCCAACTCAGCCTGGGGTTCCTACAGAAATCTGGCCTCCTAGCTCCTCCAGCTGGGGGTGCTCCTGCAGTTCCCCACTCTCCCTGCCCCTCACCACAAGACTGACTACTCCAGTTCCCAGCAGGGCTGAGGGGCACACCTCCGCGGGAGGGGCTGGCCTGCTAGGCGGTCTCCTGGCCAGCTTGGCTCCCTGTCCAGTCCAGGCGGAGGCATTTCCACTTGATTTTGGACCTTCCCACCCCCGGGGCACAGAGCACCCTGGACAGTGCTGCCCCACCCAGGACCATCACCTCAGGGGCCCCTAACGGCAGCTAGGGCCAATAGTCCCGGGGAGGACGGGACACCCCACTCTAAGACACCATTGGGCAGTTCAGGAGGGCAGGGGTGCCCATGCCTTACCTGGGCCAGCAGCCCAAGGGCGAGGAGGAGCACGGCGTCCATAGGCCGGCGGCGGGGCGACTGGCCGAGTGTCCGGCTGGGGGCCCGAGCTGTACCTCCTGCTTGGACAGAACCCGGCTGAGTGACAGCACAAGTGCGCGGGCGGTGGGCAGAGTGAGTGACTACACGTGGCCGGGGCGGAGCCTGGTGCTGAATGACAGCACAAGTGCTAGGGCTGGGACCGAGTGAGTGACNCTGGTCTGCAGCGATTTCCGGAGTTTGGGAGTACTCCTCTGTGTGGCCTTTGTCCTCTCATCATCTTCTTCCCAGAAGATGTGGCTGGCTGGGGGAAAGAGCCGCCTGGGGATCTTGGGACAAAGCCCCAAGGACAAAGCCAGCTCACACAGACCCTCAGCATGTGGGCAACGCCCTTGAGTGACATGTACTCACATATGTTGCCCACTTCACTGTCCCTCATGCCAAGCCAGAACCAGCGTGTGCCATGGACCCACTGCCCCCAAGTAGGTGCCCAATGATACACCACACTCACCCTTGGCTGGCCCTTAACCAAGAACCTGAGAGAAAACTCTGGAAGCCTTACAGCCACTGCCCTTCACTGAGGTCCGCCCCAGCCCAGGCACCCAACCCAAGGGCTGCCAAGTCATGAAGCTCCCACCACGTACAGAGCACTTGCTATGGCCAAGCTGAGTGGTGAGTGCCTTACAGACATCCCCACAGAAGCAGGAATGGTGTTGCCTAACCCAGACCTGGGCAAGAGCCCTGGGCCTGTGAGCAGCTGGCCACCTCCTGCTTAGAGGCTTCTCTGGCCTCAGGGAAGTTTCCGTTCCATAGGATTAGTGCTCATGCCTCCTCCCGGGTCAGACCACACAGGCAACACAGTGCAGCAGAGGCATTTAGCACAGGCCAGGATTCTAAAACCTGACTGATCAAGAATCACCGGAGTGGGAGGAGGGTTGTTAAAATAGGGATTCCATGAGTTTACCCCAGACATCCTGAGTTACAACACTCAGGTGGTCCCAGAGCCCACAGGATTCTTGGGAGCATTGGGGAAACTGGGCAGGCACCGGGCTGAAAGATGGGATTTCAGGGTCAAACAACCCTGACGTCCCATCTCATAGGCAAGTCCCTCCACATCTTGGGGGCTCTGCATGTGGGGTGACACCAGGGCCCACAGTGGGGGACAGCCAGAGTGGGCATGTGGTGAGTGCTGGATAATACCTCACTACCAGCATCATTTCTGTTCAGAAGCAATGGAGAGCAAGTACCCAACCCCTGGAGGGGCACTGCCAGCTGCCCCTTGCCCTCTGCAGGTGTCCATCCTGCCTGCGGGCCTGGGACAGCCCACAGAGCTTTCTGCTTCTCTCCACTGGCCCACGTGGGTTCAGAACAAATAATTATAAGGCGCCGGCCCATCTCCCAGGAGCTGGGCGTGTGGCTGGTTGGATGCTCACCGCCTTGGGAACAAATGCGGGTGACTAGGGAGGCCGGGTGGGAAGTGAGGAGACCACATGTCCCCTCTTGGCGCTGTAGCCTCTAGTGCCAGGCAGGGGACCCGGGCTTGGGCAGGGTGTTTGCTGACTGGGGCCTAGCTCCCTGGAGCTGGCTCACAGCAGCGTGTCTTGGTTGGATAACGGAACTTTTCTATTCCACCCCCTTCCCAGTGTAGTTG